CAGTATCTTGCTCAAGGATATCTGAGATGCAGAATGGAGCATCCACAGACCGAAGCAATGACCTGCGTTTGGTGAACTTTTGTCTGTTTTGTTTTAAATGTATTTTTGTGTGAAGACCTTTGTGATGTTTGTCTTGAAAGGTGATATATAAATAAAAGTTTACTAATGTTACTGATCTACCACCTGAGCTAGAAAAGCCAAAAAGTTGATTCTGTTCATGTGGAAGTTTTCTGTGGGAGAAACGTTTCGTCATCCAGGTGACTTCTTCAGTCTGAAGAAGTAAATAAGGGAGACAGCTGGATCAAAGAAAGGCCTTTTAAAGGAATGGTTTAATAACGTCGAAAGCATGTCTAATCTGTTAGTAAAGAAAGCATTAATCAAAGCTAAAATGTCTTTGAGAAGTGTTGAACGAATGGAGTCTAGAAGGCTCATTAATGGTTTAGAGCAGCGGTCCCCAACCCCCGGGCCTCGGACCGGTACCGGTCTGTGAGTCATGTCACCCTGGATCAGTGACACTGCTGCAGCTCTCAGGACAGATTGTATAAAACCAGAGAGACAGTGAAGGAGGAGCAAGTTTCAAGTTCTGTTTTTAACTTTGTAAAACAACCCAGAAGAAATCTGTAAATCTGCTGTTGTAAATATTTACTTTACAAAATCACAAAAACCTCCAATAATCCCATTATGAAGATTTTGTTCTCCACCACCAACTTTATGTTATCTCTACCTCCTCCAGTGCCTTTTTTAGTAAAGTTGAGAATATTAGGAGTATTTCTACCTCCCCTCACATTTTAACTGATTCTTTCTTCTGATCTGTTTTCAAACCACATTATCCTTCTTTCATCAAATCCACAACCTCCACTAGACACTGGTCCAAGCATTCTCTCAATCATCAACAGTTCAGTCTTTCAGTTCTGGTTCAGCTCTCTTCAAGCAGGCAGTTGGACCTCTGATGAAGAACAATAACCTAGAACCCACCTTACCAAAACACTACTGACCAACCTACAAACTTCCAATCCTCTCAAAAGTCTCAAAAGTCGAGTTTCGGATAGTGACGGCCAAATGACACGTTCTGAAGCTCTGAAGCTTGTATTGGAAAAGGTTCATTGACTTCAGCTCTCACCTTTTCCTGCAGAGTGAAGACCCTGACAGAGAAAGCCAGGGAATGATCACTTCTCGCCTCCATTTTTCAGTGTAAAAGGAAG